GAGGCTGCAAGACGAGCGTTTCGTACGAGACTTCCTCCAAAAGTCACGCGTCAAGTCTCAAAAACGAGCGTTTCGCACGAGACTTCCTCCAAAAGTCACACGTCAAGTCTCCAAAACGAGCGTTTCGTACGAGACTTCCTCCAAAAGTCCAGCGGAAACACCCATCGGAGCACACACATCACGCAGCCCTGCCTAGCAATTTCGCGATTCCAGCCCCTCCAAACGACACCCGCTCACACGCCAATCCCAATGTGACAGCGACATTCACCTCTACCATAACTCACGACCTCGCGATTCCCTGCGCCTGCCACGAATCTTTCCGCATCCACACGTCTAACGCGCACAAAGTACTGCGCCTGCCACGAAATGTCACCTCCGTCACACCTCCGTCACACCTCACAACCTCACGATTTCCTGCGCCTGCCACGAAAATCGCACTTCCACACCTCAAAATCAGCACAAAGTACTGTGCCTGCCACGAAAAGTGAGAATATCATCTCACATGAGCTTCAACAAAATTTGCACCACACCACACGTTTAGAATGATTTCGACCCGTTCTGAGCACACTCCCATCCACCAAAATCGCCATTTCAGCTGAGACTTGTCACGAAAACAGAGCTTCGAGGCCACACCCTGAAATGCAAATCCCAATGGCACGGCCACATCCAACACCCCAAAAACACGACTCTCCAAACGCTAATCCCAATGGAACTGCGCAGTAAACTGCGGATCTCTCAAACCACTGCGCCTGTGCAGCGAAATGCATCACGTTTCTTGCGCGACATGTCATTTTCATGCAAATCACAATGGAATAGCGTCGCAAACTGACACGTGACACATCCATGAAAAGTCACTTGCAAAAGCTTCCCCCAATGGCAGCGCCTTAGCGTCCTACTGCGAACGGTTGCGAACGGTTGCGAACGGTTGCGAACGGTTGCGGACGGTTGCGGACGGTTGCGGACGGTTGCGAACATAGAAACAACGGATCGCGAACAAGACTCTACCCCCAGACCCCCAGAGTTAAACGAGAACCCTTCGCTACGCATTCGGGAAAACTCAGGACCAGGTCAACAAGGCCTATGTCATGAGTGTGTGCCAATGAAATTGCCCTGTATAACATTTGTACATGACTTAGGACTTGCCCTGGGAAAGTTGTATGTCATTTCGACCCAATTGGCCTAAGTCATCTCACCCTAGTATATATGTATAACCTGAGACGGGCGAAAGCCTGCCTCCGTAAGAAGATATGAATTATTTGGTTATGGGGTGAGTTCGATAGCGCACTGGAACTGTTGTCAGGCATGAGGAAACACAGTAGAAGGCAGAGGCGGAAAGTCTCGCATTGAGGGCCGATATGACAGGCTCTTTATACACAAGGTTTCGATCAAGGCCCCTTAGCGGTTATAGGATAGAAGTGGAGCCCATGCGTTAGGAATAAAAGTTGAGTTGAGCAGGGCATTTACAGTCGGGGGGTGAAAGGTTGACTTGAGAATGACATTCACAGGTGGGGGGTGGGGTGCCCTCTTCCTTTTGGTTCAAGGGCGTCTTCAAGCTGAAAAAGGGCACCTCTAAGTAACTGACGGGCGCTTGCCTGTTGTTTGTTTCTCTCGTCTTGTAGATGGACTCATAAACTCGGCGTGCTGCCAAGAGTGGATCGATGAAAGTGGCTATCAGCTGGCTCTCGTAATTATATATCATATCTTTTATATTTTCTACATTGCTTCTTTCTCTTCGACCCTTTCTTCAGCCTATGAGATGTCAGTCAAACAGTCACTTTCACTGAGAGACGCACTTGTCACGTTCCTTGTCCCGACCTCTTTTCCCCCCTTTCCTGTCCTCCACATGAACTCCCACCCCTTATCCAAAGCCCAACTCCCTGGGATAGCTCTGAGGGGTGCCCTTTTGCATCCAGTTAACAGCCCTCTTCACCATTAATAGGAGGGGAATAGCGACATGTTGCGCAAGTTTTGCCTTGAGACACTTGTCCGATGTTCTTGGAGGCCAGCTAAGCTCTCAGCGTTCTTGTCAGGGCAGTCAATGCCGAAAGTGTTGCCTGGCATCTCACAACATGTGTCCTTTGGAAGTGCTGCACGGTGCCGCGGCCGCACCGCCGCTTGCAGACCTGTGACCTGGAAGATTTGTCAGCATATATAGTTCATGATAGTTCGAGCTATACCTTCAGGATTTCCCGCAATGATGCCAAGGGCATGCACCACTCAGAGCTGCACTGACCAAGTCGGAAGTTCCCTGTCCCTAGACTTTAAGGTACATGTTTCAGGTGGGCAAACCTTGAAATTGTAAGCTAACTGCTGTGACAGCATCTAAAGTGCCAGCAAGTGCACAGCATGTGACCATTTCTCAAGCGGGAAAAGCCAGTCGGGTCGCTGTCTTCAAACACTGCTCAATTTCCAAGACCCAATTAGTGCAGCTTGCTGACATACGGAGAGAGCTCTGTCTTCAGAGCTCCTCCTCTTCTTTGTTTGCAGGTGGATGTCGCAAATGTAAACTCAGTAGGAGAGATAGCGCTCAGTTGGACTGGGAGAATGAAGAGACCTCCGCCGCTTTTGCATCACTGTATCCTCCAAGTTGTGGCTGCAGCACGTGACCTTTGGGGTCTGCGCTTCGTGTTTGGAAGGATCCAAGTGCCTTTGGAAACGTTAGCTCTTGAGCAAAGGGACTGATGAACTATCCCCAATTTTGATTGGCAGGGCTAAGGAAAATAAGGTCAAGAAAAGTCAAGAACCAGAGTTATCAACTGTTGTTTGTGGGGAAGACAAACTGACTGCACCGAGGCACTACAAAAGTGAAAGCACTCCTCAGTCGTCTGTATTTCCCTGCCATTTCCGCAATAGTTTCGACATCCTGGCAGCTTTGCAGGCTTATACATTATATAAGCATATACAAAAGCATACACATTTCTCTACAGTTAAAGTGCAGAATCGAGTGAACAAAGAAAGAACCACTTGTGCAAAGAAACAACACTATCTGCATGCTTTCGAGCTACGCAGGAATTCTGGATTTCTGCAGTGGTATCCTCGGAGTATGCATGTAAAGGCATTCTGCTTCACAGCCATGCCCTCTAAGCCACACACTCAATACGTGCTCCATTTTCCCAAAGAAGTCGCATGAAGCTTTCTAACCTGGAAGCAAAATAGCAAGACAGTTTCACCATGCAGTGAGCAGAATGAGTGTGCTCTGTTTTTGTGTGCCAAGTCTTCTATGCCGCTCAACTGAGCTTGGAACTGGCGGTTGCAAGCTTTCAGCAAGGCCGTTTCCCCCTGGGGAGGGCCATAGTCCAAACCGGTTGGCAAAAGCATTTCCCGCACAAAGGCGAACTCAGACCAACACCCTTTGATCTTCAGCATTAGGGTCAGCTCGACCTCACTGAAAGCACACACAAATTGAAGGTCCTCCTGTCTCTGCATGTGTTCCCGTTGCAGTTTGTGTAGTTCCCAAAGATGCCCAAAGCAATCGCAGGTCTAAGCACCCCACATTGCAACAACCACCTGACAGCGAGGCCACGGAGTAAAGAATCTCAGCACGCACTCCTCAAATGCAATGGGTGTTTGTCTATTTGTGTGTGTGTGACCTTTGGAATCATGAGAAGCCCTTGTTTCTGTTGATTTTAAAAATGCAGGGGGTGGCAGCAGGAACGAGAGTCTGCCAAGGACGAAGTCACTCTCAAATTCCTGATGATACTTGGACTGATCATCCCAGGATACCTGCGTTATGACAGGAGAATGTCCTCCTTGGTCCCTGCTTCTCATTACGTAGAACAAGACCGTTTCCTTGCACCGGTTAGGTTTGCAGTAAAGTGCTAGTGAGCTCAGCACACTTGCATTTGTCGAGCGACTTTGCGATACTTTGAAACTTTGGATTAGACTTGGAACTTCAAGCACTTTGGAACTTGGAACTTGGAGCCTTTGGTACTAGCTTGGCTCTTTTGGATGGTTGGACCTCCTTGCATATACAGTAGAGACATGTACTTGTACCTGAACTCTTAGGTTTTCTGGTTACCTTGGTCTCTGCGAGTAGCACACCGCATTGCGTACAAACTCTTATCTCGAGTGTGAGATCTAGGCTTTCCCGCCTGTCTTTCGTGGGAATTCCTGACCCGACTTCGCACGAGCCAGCAATTGTGCGGCTAAAAATCTGGATGTAACTGCTTCGCTGCAAATGTTCAAAGGCTTGGCACGTCGCTTGTGCTTAGACGATTGCAGCTGAGGAGATATTCAGAGCTCACTTTCAGTGCTCAATTTGTCAATCAACTTCGACAGCCCGATTGTGGGGGCTTTGATGTCGGTTCGCCATTGCTGCTTTGATGTTCGCTCGACGATTCGACACAACCTGCTGCGCGAGGGGTTACACGGGAAGATGTTTTTGTAAGCGTGCGGTTTCACATCACATTGCTTTCTCTTTCTGACCCTTTCTCCACTGTCGGTCTGTCTCTGAGTCGATGACCAGGCAACGTCATCCAAGCCACTCTCGGCAGCATACATCAGCACGGTTCTTCCAGCAAGGCCTTTAGCCTCGACGGCTAAACCGCTGGAACAGCAAAGCTCAATTGCAGAGCAAATCAAAGGCCTCACCTCCAAGTTTGCCCCATGTCGAGCCAAGTGAATCAAAGTGTCCCACCTTGCATGAATCATGAATCGGTTCCTTTGGGTTTGACAGCGGCAACCGCTTAGTCGCCCTAGTCAAGTCATTCTTCCAAATCAATGTAGACCAGTGGCGGCTCCTTTGGGGATTTTTTTGAACTTGTCTAGCATGTGCAGGTGCTTAAGTGTCATACGAAAGATACCATGGAAATCTAGCTGAGTTTGGCTCTCCTATGTAGCTGATAGCTGAGCTGCTGTGACGTCTCAGCCAGGCGGACAATGACTGGCTTGGCATCTGGTGATTCGATTGCCTCAAGATCGCCCACGGCTAAGACAAACAACTAGTGCCGCACCGGCTTTGAGAAAGCAAGCTGCATCTAAATCCGCCCGTGCTTCCGCAAGTCTGCGCCTCAGAGCCAACAACACACTTGCAGCTGCATTGAATATCCAAAACTAGGATCTGACACAACCATCCAGCTCTGCTGGCGTGCAGCTGCAAGCAAGGCTGTCTGGCCTTTGCTGCGTGCTTCCAACCTGACTCCAGGCAATCCTAACCGAAGTTGTGCGTTTTTATTCACAGTTGCTGAGATTGATACTTTGCTCTGCAATCAATCAGCTTGGAAACTCCTCTTGCATTTCCTGATCAATGTATGAATATACAGCGTACAGTGACTAGCCTGACTAGCTAGAAAGCGACACTTTTTTTGTTTTGGTTGTTTCTTTCTTTATTCCTTGTTTCCTTCCTTTCTGTCTCTGTCTCTGTCTCTGTCTCTTTCTCTCTATCTTTCTCTCTATCTTTCTCTCTCTAGCGTTCTCTCTCTCTCTCTCAGGTTACACGTCCTTGACTTGCTGCTATGATCAATGCAGTTTCTCCATCTGGATTGCAGACTTCCGTATCAGCACCTTAAGGCAGTGAAAATGGATTTCGACAATTGCAGCAGGTCTGCGCAAATATTTCAACTCTCAAAAGGTGCAGGCGGCCAGCGGACTTATTTCTTGAGCCAAAAGCGGGGGATTGAACGATACGGAGCGATCCAACATCAAATCACCCCTCCTAGACAACATGGGATTTTCCCATGGAGTCTCACACTGATCGCTTCGCTGTCTCAGATCGTCCAGCTTGCGTACGCTGTCCCATTGCCAACATGTGCTTTCGACACAACTCTTGGCTAACAGGTTTGGCGCACACGTCGCTAAGATTGTCGTGAGTGGATACAGCTCGTAGATCGATATCTTTGTTCTTCACTGACTTGCTGCTGCGCCCATAGGAACCTTGTCTGTATGCGTCTCGTCTTTCCGAGACCCCTCCTTGAACACATACCTCGCGCCGCTGACGAATCAGATCGTACAACGACCTGAACAGGAATGCGCCACTCATGGTACAAGGCCCTTAGTCCAAGTCCTGCGGAAGCTGCTTTGACAATCGAGTAAAGCTCGCTCTCGCCGCTTGACAATGCTATCGTCGATTGCACTGTAGATGAACTTTTCAAGCAATGTCTTCCTGCCATGCAAACCAATCCACTAACAAACAACCGGCATGGTCGCTGTCCGTAAAACAAGTGATCGTGTCATAGGCTTCTTGAGCCTTGAACTCTTGCACGACTCGTGGACAACCTTTGAGGTATCGTCCAAGTCTTTTAAGCTTGCCCCATGAATGCTCCGTTGGCGATGCCATGAAGCGAGCCAAAGTCTTGACACTCTCACAAATGTCCACACGATCCTGACTCAAGTAGGCCCATCTCATGACCACTGATCTATACAGACCACTGCGGTCTGAAGGTAGTGGCGGTAGCCCACTTGCAGCCAATGCCCCGTGTGAACTGACCTTCTCAGCCGGGGTGACCGGCTTGGCTTCTTCAAGTCCTAGCTGTCGGATCACAGTTTCAGCACGTCGTGGATCTGCCTCATATCGAATGGAACCAGCAGTGTTGTCGAACTCAAGAATACGGTTGAGCACGGTCATGGCTTTCCCGTCTCCGGCCTCTGGGCCTATGCTGCCATCAACTCGTAGCTCGAATTTCTTCCTCAGCACTTCTTCAACAAACTGCTGTCCCTTGCTGTCGGCCAAAACAACAAAGTCGTCATGGCACAACCTGGAGTCCGTGGCTTCGTGGTAGAAGATAGCCGGCCAGGCTACACCTTGAACAATGTCGCGTTCACGCAACAGCTTGCTATAGGTCTCCTGCCAAATACTGCTGGCATGGCATCCTGTGCGCGGTACATCGACTTTTGAAGTCGTGCGCACTTGCCCCCTCGCTCTCGGCCTGGAGGTAGGTTCGTGTACACGAGCCCTTGAAATGTCCAAGATCCGCAACTTTAATGCTCCTCCATGTTTGCTTGTCTTCATGGACACCATCAAGCTACACAGAACCTTCAAAGCCTCCAATGGTGGCATGGCCGAAAACAATTCAGCGTCATCTAACATTTGACCTTTCTTCTTGACCTCACGCACGACCAACCGGGAACGGAAGTTCGGGCGCTGCCAGTCACCCTTGTTCCGATTGACCCTTTTGAGCGTAATGGGTGCCTTTCCCGTTACTTGCCATGCTTCATCAATGTCGACTGGTTCATAGATTTGCTGCTTTTCAACCCAACGAAGTTCTTCTTCTCGAGCCTTCCAAACTTCTGCCTTCGGAAGTGCTACTCCGGTCACGGAGTCGAAGATCATCTCACCATCGTCCTCCTCAAAGTTCTCGGAGGAATCAAAGCTTCTGTGGGTTCGTTGCTCTCGCCATCAGGAACTGGTCCAACGCCATCTAGCTTTCTGTGACAGCATTCAATGTCAATTCTCCTCTGTCGACCAATTCTTGTCGAACTGCCGTCAATATCCCCTCCACTAATTTCGGAGGGTAGACCTGGGCAAACTTGGCCCTTCCGTTGATGAGATGAACGTGTCTACGTCCACCTTCGCAAGTTCTAACTCTGCCAACGTGCGGGAGTTTGTCACAAACTGTGTCTCCTTTCGCACGTATCCATGGCCTTTGGCGTCTTCTGATACCATTTCCCATCTGCACATCGGTCCACTTACTGTGTGGACACTTGGATCGGACTGCAATTCGATCATCTTGGGGTCTTGCCAACTCGTTGCCCACTTGGGATGTTCATGCAAAAACAATATTCCAGAATTCAGCTGTGTCGAATATATTCATCAATGGACGTATGGAGGTGTTTTCTCCCCTCCTTCTGTGCTTTCTCAAATTCCTTCTGATCTCGCTTGTACTTTGTCAAATTCTGTAGTGGTGAAAAGGGACCGCAAATAGGGGAACCAACCAGCAACAATGGTTTTGTACGCTGTAGCAACCGGAACAGCTCGTCGATATCCCTTTTGCGACTCAGGTCCCAGTACTCTCCTCCAGGACTCTTTTGGGCCGACAGGTCTACGGCGAACCCCGGGCGTGGAGGACCTGCGCAATCTCCAAGCTGCCCTCTTTGCACACGCGCGTTTCCACCAAGCTCGAAATCTCCAAAATGGATGTAGGCGTCTCCTCAGTGGTCTGTTTTCTCGAACTTGCACTTGTTGAACCTTCGACCGCAAAACCTGCTTGCTTCTCGGCGATCTCTGCCAGCTTCTCTATGGAGTCACCCTTTCGTTTCTCACCTTGGATGGCTCCTGACCTTTGTCAGAAGCCTCTGCTGGACCAAGGTTCCGCACTCTGTACTGTGGGCTCGTGCTGGAAGTCCCACTGCTATTGCAATGCATCCTGCGCAACCCGAGGTTGGATTGTCTTCGACGTCTTACACAGGTCGCGGGCCACGAAGTCTTTCTTTCTGGCCCTGGACTCAATCTGCCTGTGGCCTCAGGCAATCAACGCGGACCAGTGCGTCCACATCTTCAGCACTTTGCGGCCTCATCTTCCAGGGCGTTCCCCGGAGCTGATCGAAGCCGTCAGCCTTCCAGCGATCCTCAATCGCTTTGCGCTTCACACTGCCTCCTTTGATCACACCTTAGTCGGTCATGACCAGGATATCTCCATTGCGGCCATGGGCGCCCATAGACACCTGAGTCCAGCTTGCGCGCCAAGTCGCTGCGCTCCTTCTTGTAGGCTTTCAGTGGCCGGAACCAGACTCTCTCACCGAAGGTCACCATCGGCCCTTCGCCACTTCGTGCCCTTCAACCTCTCATAGGAAGTTCGGCCATCAGCTCCAACTCTAAACCGCTCTCATGGGCCTCAATCCACAAGTTCTCCTGGAGCGCGCTCTTCATTGCGCGGCGCTGACGTTTGCTCTCTCGCGCTGACACCTCCACAGCGCCAGTCGAGGGCTTGTCGCCTGTCTTCCCTTCCTCCAGGATGACCTTCAACAGAAGAGGTTTCTTTGACCTTGGCCTTCAGAGCTTTGATGGCTGGTTCATTGTCTGATTTCAGGATGCTGCGCTTGTAGCCGCACTCGTCAAGGACCCCCAACATGAAGTCCACCGCAAACTGATCCGGACCCTCCGCCACACAGGCCCATGTCATGCCTGAGTGCTCATCTTTCACTTGTAGGCTGGGCAACTCATGCTCTCGCTCTTTGTCACTCTCGCCGTTCCAAAAGTAGTCGATCCCAATCGCTGGGAATGACCTTTGCGCTTTCTCTTCCTCAGGAATGTGCGCATGTCTCTCACGCAATCCTCGAGCGCGAGCACAATGACCACACCATGTTCTGTAGGCGACGTGGCCAGATGCTTCACGCTCGTCTTCTATCTCTTCGACTGTAGGGCTTTTGGGACTCCTCAAAACCTTTGGAGCCCGCTGTTCTTCGGCACCATCGTCCGCCCCATCAACGACGGCGTCATCTTCAGGCGGGCTTACGGCCTCGGCGCCTGCCGGGGGAAACCCGACTCAGCGCCGTCCACTGCTCCAAGATCCTCGGCGTTGGTGGTCTTAAAATCAAAGCAGTAGATCCCGCCTTGCTGATACATGGATGTCAATCTCCTGGCGTCCTTAGGATGTCTCTTGATCAGCTGCTGCAAGCTCCGTCGCATGCCATCAGCGATCGATCCATCGTTTGGGATGATCGTGCCACTTGCACCATCCAGCATCACGCAGTTCTTCTTGCCTGCCGCTGAGCCTGAAACCAGCCTACAATGAACATTCACCAGGCGTCCTGTCACCGAGCGCCCCTGGCCATCATTGTCATAGCCATTGAGCGCTGTACCGCCAGCAATTCGCCACTTGCCGTTTTGTAACACCTGGCGCTCGTCTGGGACGGCTGCAAGCCAAGCTTCTCCTTCAGCACGCTCGGAATCGCAGTCACCGCCGCACCAGTGGCAACGATGTGTGTCCAATCATCTGCGCCGGCTTCACCGCCGCCAAATGAGTTGAGCTCACCTTTGAACTCCGGGTTGGGAGTCAGCTTCGCTCGGCTCATGTCCTTCTCGACCTTCTCGCGCCTCATGTCTATGTGGTACTTCTCGCGATCGACCTCCGAGTGAATCACGCTGCATCTTTTCCCTTTGTGGCAAGCGCTCTTGACGAACTTCTCGCATCGTCTGGCATCTTTTGGGCGGTTGAGGTAGAAGGCTTCGGTCTCCTCCTCTCGCTTGCGCTTCCGTGCTCCTCGAACGCGGTCGCGTCTTTTGTCCTTCTTGTCTTTTGTCATCTTTCTCACACGATGCGCATAGATGTTCGCGCGCTTGCGCTTCATAACGGCCAGCTCGTCTTCTTTGGTCTCCGTCTTGAACTTCTCCACCTCATCTTGCGTCAGCTTGCGGTATTTGCGCTCCGACTTTAAGAGCTTGTCTTTCTCCTCAGGCTCGATTGCGCTTGCGGTCACCGCCTTTGCCTTGCCGCTATGGATGCGCATCTTGTCGCCGCCGAGGGTATCCACGGCCTCTGTCTCGATGCCTTCTGCAACATCATCTTCATATTCTTCCTTCTGGGCCGGCCTGTTGGCATCATCGAACTCTTCATGCCAGGCCAGGTCAGCTTGTTTGAACTCTTCACGACGCTCCTTTTGTCCAGCCTTGCGGTTCAGGGCTGCCTTTCTTCTCTTCTTCTCTTGAGCCCAGGCCGCCGAGTGACTCACGCCCTTCTTGATGGCTTGGTGGTATCGGCTGCTGCGCCAGCTCTGATCAAGAATGTCCAGCTCTGGACGCTTGGATTTCGCCGTTTCTTTTGCCTTGCGGTCATCGTCCAAAACCTTCTTTCATCTTCTTCTTCTGGACCTCGAGCTCTTTGATCTCATCTTCCAACCGCTGAACTTCGGCTTCATCTTCAGCCTCCTCGATGACGCTTCATTCCTTCCGCGAATGGCCTTATCGTGATCCAACTTGTCCCTCATCGTGTCCTTCGTGAAGTTGGACATGGCCTCGAACTTCTCACGGCTCACACCCTTCATCACGCAGATGGTCTTGTCCAGGGTGGAGGGAAACTCTTCTGGCCTAGTCATCTTCAGGGCTTCAAGGTTCGCAGCCAATGTGGTCTTCTTCAGACAGGCCTCGAAGTCGGACTCGCAGAGATTGCACACGTGGTTGTCGTGGTCGTCCAAGTGTCCACAACGCATCATGAAACAACAGTTGCAACACTCTGCACAACGTCCAGTCTTAGGGACCTCTTCCTCGTCGACCACCACCTCTCGAGCCAGGTTCAAAAATCCTGTCTCGGTCTCGGCCACTTCTTCTTCTTCCGGCTCTCCATAGCCTTCTTCCTCCTCTATAGGTTGCTGACACCCTTCGAGCTTTTGCCCTTTCCTTTGCCTTTGCCTCCTTTTGGGCTTGTTGGCTTGACCTCCACCGGCCTGCCAACAGTCTTTCACCAGGTGTCCAACCTTGCCACGATCCTCAGTCTTGGGACCCTTGCCGGCCGAGCTGCTGGATGTGGTCTTTCCTTTCCCTTTCTCTCCTGTCTTCTGACCCTTGCCCTTGGAGTCTTTGCGCTTGCTCTTACCTTGTCCCTTCTTTCCTTTGCCAAAGCCGCCGTGTCCATGGGCGTCGCCTCGTCTGGATGGGCTGCAGTCCCAATCTTCAACCTGCTTCCCAACCTTGTCTCCAGGTACAGCGACACCTCGGCTCTGACCTCTTGGTACGTAGTATACCTGGACCTGTTCAGTTGAAGACGCCGTTCAATCTCTGTCGGGCATAGGTGCTCCAGGATGGAAACCTTGATCTCGTCATCGAGCGAATGCCTTGTTCCGTCGCTTCGCTTTCTCGACTCATAGATCCTCAGTTGTTCCTCCCAGACTTCATCTGTGTTGGACACGTCGTCCAGCTTCTGGCATTTCTGCGGGTTGAGGATGTGTCTCAACATTGTCCGTCGTCGACCACCTGTGCTTGGATCATACCGTCGAACCAAGCGCCTCCATGCTTCTAACCCACAGTTCTTGCCTGCTGATCGGATGATGCTAAATGCCTCACCCTCACATAGAGTTTGGAGGACCGCGAACAACTGAGTATTCATCGCCTGAATCTCATTCACGTGGGAGGGAGTTGGAGAGATTTCACCCCACGCGTCCTCGATGTCGGTCTCCGTGATGGTCTGGGCGCACTCTTCGCACCATGGAAGCACTTCATCGAATTCACCAAACACTGAAGTGATGAAAGCCTCAAGGCGTGTTCTCCAGTATAGGAACGACTCTTCTTTCCCTGTGAACTTGTGGCCTTTCGTGTCGACCAGTGACATTCGGCGTTCATCCTTGTGCTTCAAACTGTCCATGAGCTCCTTCTGACTGGTTGCCAGTGCTGTGAATGCTGCTTCAACATCAGCTGGAAGTCCACCTGCCGCTGCTGCCGCTTGCTGGGTTTGTGTCTGTCGCAATGCTTCGATCTGCGCTCTCATCTGTGTCTCTCGCTGCCGCCCTTCAGTGACCTGTTGCTGAAGCTGCTGCACGGCCTGCACGAGCTCTTGTGGCGTCATTCCTCCTGCCTGCGCCATGCTGACAGATCGCACTAGATCGTCTCAAGTGTCCTGGCTCGATCGCTTCCTGCAGGTGTTGTCCAATGTGATGGAAGAGCCGCTGCAACCTCCTCACTCTCTGGACCTTTCGGATCAAGCGCCTCCACTTGGCCAAGATCCTCCGCTCACCGCGGATGCGATTCCACCGGGACCGGCCAGCCGAAACAGCTGACACCGCCCCAATGGTGCAAATCGCAACTGCGCTCCAACCAAACGTATCGAGCACACCAAGAACCCAGGCACCTGCCTCGACCAGGCGCTACGCTACCATGCACAAATATTTCAACTCTCAAAAGGTGCAGGCGGCCAGCGGACTTGTTTCTTGAGCCAAAAGCGAGGGATCGAACGATACGGAGCGATCCAACATCGAATCAAGGTCAAAGCTGGACCATAAAAGTCAGATGTCTCATACGTCTCATGCTTCTGGGGCGTACGAAGCTCCAAGAGCAAATGAAGTGCTGCCCACCTGAAACACTTTTCAGAGCCATGTGAGTCAGTCATGTGTCTGTTGAGCAGCCATTTATTCTATTGCTTGTTGTTTTCTCTGTTCAACATCTTTTGTTCTGCTATGTCTTTTTCAGTTTTTCTTATGATAATCGTTCATGGGGGGCAATTCCACAGTAGCCAGTATTGGTTGGATAATCTTTGGGCACAAGACACAAGTAGTTCATGAAAATGTACACTAAGAATCTTCGTGGTAGCACTACTGTACCTTGCAAAAACATAAGGTTGCGTTGCACCCTCAGCATCTGCTTAGCTGCGCAGCCTCTTCGAGTTGGCTGCCACAAGCAAAGGCGGAAGACCTTGGAGAGAATGCTGCAAGTGAATACAAGAGTGACAAAGAGAGAGAGAGAGAGGGAGAGAGAGTGAGAGAGAGAGGGAGAGAGAGAGAGAGACAGAGAGAAACAGAGAGAGACAGAGAGAGACAGAGAGAGAGAGAGAGACACAGAGAGAAACCGAGAGACAGAGAGAGAGGGAGAAAGGGAGAGAGACACGCATACAAGAGAGAAATACAAAAATAGAAAAGGAGATGACAAAAGAAGCAAGGAACAAAAGAAAGAATTGTAAAGGAAGGACAAGGATTTGTCTAATGACAAGCACAAGACTCATTAAATTAAAATTCAAACACCTGACTTATATATAACTATATAACTATTGCAATAGTTACTGGTATTTTCGTGAATACGCCTTTTGGAGGTGTGAAGGCTAGATAAGCTGCATGTGCTTGCACTTGCCCGAATCTGCTACCAACCTGAGGCAAATGCCATGAAGTGGGCTTCTGTCCTGCAGCCAACATACATTTGCAAGCACCTATAGCATGTACTTTGTTGCAGGATGGACATTAGGGATCGGCACTCTCGGACTTGCTGACGCGTGCACGTTGAGAAAAGATACAAGTCTTATGCATGTCCTATAGAGGACGCGCTCGCTTCCTCATTAACATGTTCATCATCCATGATTGAAATGCTCATGCTCAAGACGCGATGACTCGCTCCCGTTCCCTCTTTTCCGGGACCACCATCACATTGTGTTTCGACAGCTCGTACAAACAAATGGAGCAAGCATGGGCAACGTTTAAAGAGTGCCCTTGCTGCTGTGGAACACAAACCCGTCGGTCACATTGTTGGATGATTTCTTCAGAGACACCAGCAAACTCGCTGCCAATCACCAATGCCCAATTAGAGTCTCCACGTGGTTCATGAGGAGCAACAGGCTCTGAAAACTGGTTTTCTGCTGCATAAAGACAAACACCTAAGTCTTTGAGCTCGGTTATCGCCTTGGACAAAGGTCGAGCTGCATGGAAACTCATTCTATAGAGCCACCCCATTGAGACTCTGCAAGCACGACCGTTCAAGCAACTCCAAGCGCCCGGTGACGCAATTACTGAGTTGATGCCCAGATGGTACGCACTTCGCAGAACCTGGCCAACATTGCTTGCGGAGTTCAAGCCATCCAGGACTACAAAGGGCGGTTTCATGTCACGGATTGGTGTGCTGTACGGGAACGCAACGAGGAATCTACACCCTTCAAAGCGCCGAAACAAGCGGCTGTCCATCACATCCGATGGAACCCATGGAACATCTTGTCGAAACTCTGCCATCAGGTGAGGTTCGGCGACATAGACAGTGGGTGCAACTTCTTTCGCCAGCAACATCACCTCTGCAGGAGTCCCAAGCCTTAATCAATCGGATTCACATTCCACTGCAATATGAATGAGAAAAAGGCACGATGATTTGGTGGTTTGTCAGACTCTGAGTGGATTCGACATGCAGAAATAACGGAATACCAAACCAACATCAAAGAATCATTCCAGCAAAGTGCTGATCATATTTCAAGCATCTTAGGCAAAAGCACAGAGTCCACATGAATGGCTTTTCCTCTGGAAAGAGCCTCACGAAGCTGTTGAAGGCAATCCCAGCTGTAGTGCACCTTGGTCATGGTTGGGGGTCATGGTCAGGTAAAGTGTCAAAGCTGTCTGTCCATGCTTTGTGACCACAAGGAATTCATGCCAGGACGTAATGATGCATGTATGATACGTCTGTATGCACATACTGTTCACTGAAACTTGAAAATATGTCGCTTAAAATACAATGTGTAAATATAAGGATACGTGCTGTTGGCTGTGTCGTGCTGTTGTGGAGATGCCATGCGGAATGAAAAATAAACGGCTTCTGGTAAGCTGCCATGAGATGTCTTGTGGCTTTGACAATATGTAGCACCTATACTTGATTGCTGTTCGAGGAGGTTTGCTTGGAAATGATGAGAAGGTGGCAAATGTAGGGCTTGCTGCAGATGCTGTTGCGAGTGTTGACCCGGAACCAAACACAATAAAATCCCTTGGGCGAGGGTGCGATCGCCGGCTTGTATATACATCTTGTTGAAAAGCTAAGCATCTTTTGAGCTGATCTGATATCCGACAAACGGTGTTTATTGGATTTTATGAATGACACACAAAAGCAAGAACTGTCTGAAACCCCAAGACAAAAAGCTCTGCATACTCTGAGCTGCGTCGACGATGCAGCCCAGCTGGTTCAGGGGCTTCAAGCGCTTCGGCTTTTTGGCCTCTCGCTCTTGTATATAGTCTCGCGAGAATGAGCAAGAGTGGATCTCAAACGCTGTGAACATTCGCTCAAAACTCCTATTGATATGGGTTGATTGGTTTCGTCCTAAAGCCTAAATCATCAGAGACTCGAAAAGTTGGGGACGCCAGTTGAACCTTCCATTGCATATCATGATAAGTTGCACTTTTTGCAAATCAGGATGTATAAACATATCTTCAAGAATAAATATACAGTTATACAGAACAGTATCATTATGTATGATCAAAATCGTGTTTCTACAATGTCCCTTTCTTCGGTCCTCATCCATGGAGCTCCCGGGGCCTGGCGCAGAATTGAAACATCGGACCATAGTCCTCCTTCGCCTGAAGACCATGGGTCCTCCTTTTTTAGATCTAGAGATGTAGAGAATAAAAGAGGAACACATATCTGTTGTATATCTGAAGAATACCTTTTTCTTCTCATATCCTTCTTCTGTTGTCTCATACAGAGCCATTTGTCTAAGCTTCCTGCAAGTGAAAACGAGCAATGAATGAGGAACAAGACGGAATGAGAGACGGACTCATCACATTTTGGGGTTGTAGCAAGAAGCTACTAGTAACAAGGACATCGCTACTAGTAACAAGGGCATTACTACTAGTAGCAAGAAGCTACGTATGATTCGGTACCTTTCTCATTTACAGGGGATGTCATGAGCCACACCAAAATGGTTTCGTTGAGTTGACAGGGCGGCTACGTCCATGAGGTGGGCCGGGGGGGTCCTGTTGATGACCTCTGAAATCTGCTTAATCCACCCGCAGCCAAAGCGAATCTTGAATTTCTAAATGAGGTTGGTGCAAGTCAACCGGACCCCTCCGCAGAAATGAAGTCCAGACTTGCTTGTTCGAACATTTGTAGCTACAGCAAATAAACAACGAGAACAGAAGTACATAGCTTTCCAGACCCCAATAACCCCTCGAGGTTTCAACAAAACCCACAGCCATCATGCGGGCGCAAACCAAGCTTTGACACAAACATTGTATGTCAAAAAAAATAGAAAGCATGCTCTAGCAGAAGAACAAGCTCCGCCAATACATGAGCTCAAAGCATCTTCGGCCAAAGATCTCACTTGCAAGTCATACGCTGTGCAATCTCGCTGGCTTCGAGCTTTGTAGAGCGTCAAACGTTGATCTTCTGGATCTGTAATTTCCACGATCTGAGCCATCGGAGACATTTGATGGCTTTGGCCACACAAACGCTTGGCCCAAGACGCCTTTCCAGCTTTGGTCAGGCTCAGCATGCAAACTGCTTTGCCAATGAAGGCAAAGTGTGCAAAAGGTAGCTGGGTACCCAGCTGCCTTGTCCCAGATGCTTTCAAGACAGTGAGGCTTCGCATCTTCGCACGTCTGAACTTGCGGCAATGAAAGCACTGGGGTTGTGAGAGCAAATTTACAGAGCGGTCAATGCCACTCTGATCCATGAAGGCAACGCGGCAACGTTTGTCAAATCAAATCACAACTACCAGTAGCAAATCTAGCAACAGCTTGTTTTACGCTCCCTATGGTCACTCTTGATGTATTGACAGGTCCTGGTCACCATGCAGGGTCATGACCAGGTCACAGATCTTGATGGTGAATGAAATCCTATGGCTTGGTTGCCAATTTACAGTATGGGCTGAGGGTGCTTCGCATTGTTGCATTCATTCAGTCGGGAAATTTATTCTGCTCTATCCTCTGGAGCCAAGCTGGGGACCATGTGAAGCAATAGCATGCAATGGCGCAAGCACTTCCGGAACGAATCCATGTCATGAATGCTGCGCATGAGTCCGGTCCAAGTCTGCATGTGCTTCAGCCAGAATCTTGAGGACGCCCAAGTGGTTTGCCGCTGCTGCTGCTCCGCAAGCGCTTTCATTGCTGTCACTCATGAAATTGGCTGAGGCACCTTTGTGGCAAAGAAACTGAACCAGTGATTCATCTCCAGACTTAGTTGCCTGAATCAGCACAGTCGAAGGCTTCGGATTGCCATATCCGTTTGTCTTCATTGACTCGCTCTTGTAGCTGATGGCAACATTCGGATCTGCTTCAAGTTCCACCAAGCGCTTCACCATATGCCATTTTTCCGAGGCAGCTGCAGCTGCAACTGAGCTATGTTCACCATGTATTCCAGCACGGCACCGTACTAGTAGTTCGACCACCTGATCCATGAAACAACCAACCTGTGCCAAAGTTACTAAAGTACTAAGTAGCAGCATGGCACAAAATTGACATCTATGTAATCTATGTATGTACCAGGGTCCAAGGCAATGATCACAAAAATCAGGAAGGTTAACTTTGCAATCTACTGGTAACTTCAATCGCACAAGCCTCCATGTTGCCGGCTGAAGCTGCGAGGGTCACGGCCGGCAACTTGCTTGCTGGGCAAATCCTTGCGCAAGCACTTTACTCTCAGCATCAGCAAGAAGTTGACAGCATTGGGCCCGCACATGTTCAAGTCGCAGTGGCCATTTGCAAGGATATGCAAGAAATCCATTTGGCTGGAGCCTTGGCACAAGGCAAAGGTATCCCCAACTCAACCGTGACACAGGTCAAGTGACAATGCAACATGGTCAATTTTTACCTTTGTGAAACCACCCCTTGCCTCGAACAAATGTAAGGCCTGAGATTTACGAATAGACCAAAGAATGCCAGTGCCCCTCAACATCTACTACCAATGAAGGCCCTTTTCAACCGCTTGCCTGAACACCCAGAAACAAGGATCAACTATGTTGGCAGCATGTCCAAAAGCAGTCGGCTCTCGAAGCCTGCATGAGAACAACAAACAAGTGGTGGTTGATCAATATATTTTCATGGTGGAAAACCACACAAGTTTGATCAAGTCCCCCTACGGCCTTCTTCTGCAGAATTTTCTGCGTACTAACACTCGACTCAACTGCCGTTCTTCAATAGTTCTTCTGTATTGTTTTGCACATCCTGAAACTAAAACCGATTTTGAAAAAAACACATGCTTTTGCGCGTTCCTGGCAACAACCTCCTGTGCCGCCAATGAATCTTGAACGTTAATGTAAAGTCACGATTAATAAGCCTCCCATAGCTAATCCGAACCCACAAAACCACCGGAAATTGACCAAATTGAAAGTAGTATTGGTGGTTTATTCCCCCCCTAATGGTCTAGTTGACTACCAGAAACCACCCCAGTTAGTCCGAGCCCACGACCAGGTCAATTTTTCGTACTTTTGCTACTACTATACTGCTGCTGCTGCTACTGCTACTACTACTACTACTACTACTACTACTACTACTACACCTCCTGCTGCTGCTACGACGACTACGACGAGACGACGACGAGGACGACGACAACGACGACGGCCACCAGGGCCTATAAACTGCCTTATTAAAAAGCATGAAATAACAATCATTTGACAAGCTCACAAAGGCTACCCCTCACAAGGGCCGGTCCCCATCAATAATCTGGACTGCTACCCCCTACTACTTTGATCCTGTGTCCCTTGCCTTTTGCTTGCGTTTGTTTAAACTTATTGTGACTACTACTACCACTACTACCTCCTACCTCCTACCTCCTACCTACTACCACTACTACCACTACCACTACCACTACCTTAAGGACCGCTTGTACTTAAGCTACTTGTTCTTACTTCAAAGTAACTTGAAGTACTTGTGTCTACTTATGATCTACTTGTGAACTACTTATGTTGTATACAAAAACACAATTGAAACAAGGTGAGCCCGCGGACCCAAAAGCAAAAAGAAGCGCACAACCCAGGAAAAACAAACAAACACACTTGAGCAAAGACAATGAATCCCTTTCAGCAATGCCTTTCCCTCCAAAGCCACCAGAATGAGAAATCTCCCTTGTCTGGATAACCACCCAGCTCTTTGTTGCTCGCCATCATCGCAAGCTCTTGGCTTCATTTTGGAGCCTGGTCCTTGGTGAGACCTCCTGCTGTCACGCAAGGGGCCTCAGAGCGGAAATGTGAAAGCTTTGTGTCGAACTGGCCGGGTCGGAAGTGAACTGTATATGTGAGCTAGATTCAGGATATGAGTGGTGAAGCATGGAGTGTTGGAAAACACTTTGTATATACTTGAGACCCCACAAATTTAAAACTCAAAAGTTGCCTACAGATGTATGGATGCTTCTCCGGACGAAGCCTTCGTATACATGAGCCACGGTGAAAATCAATTATTTATGCATGAAGCGGAGCTACCTACTCGCTGAAATCAGAAGCAATGGACGACGAGCTTGTTCACAGCTCGCTTGTCAGCGGCGGACAAAAAGCATTGTAATCTCGAGTGGGTTTGCAAAATGTGGTGTACCTATCTCTATCTTAAACTTTATCGGCCTTCTCTTTGCTGGGATGCAAAACACTAACACGTAAGTTGTCAAGAAGAAAGGCTAGACCAATGTCTTCGATAGGGAATTTAGCTGTCTCGTCAGCAGGCTCTGGGCAAGTGGCTATGAAAGCTGAAAACATATCCAAACGGTTATCGGCGAGTTATCGAGTTCGTTATCGGCGTAGTGGCCACATAGAATCCGGATTTTTCAAGAAATGGCTGCAGATTAGAAGAAGAACAACACAGCAACAAACACATTGATTCCATATCATGTAGCTGAAGCCACCCACTAGGGTACTGTCAGTGGGGCTTTCAGTCGACATGCAACAGCCACCGCAAGGATCTGTCAATAATGAGAATAAAGACCATCATAACCCACAAAAGACAGCTGCGGCGTTCGACATGTCTGCACTCTAGTCACTCTAGTCTTACACCTCGATCTGGCCTCATACCTGATGGATGTAGTGCGATAGGCTGTACGTGCTGTGGATCTTGACCTGGCCTTTGAGGATGTAGTGCGATAGGCTGTACGTGCTTTGGATCTTGACCTGTCCTATGACCCTTCTCTTTTTCCTCTTCGGACGCTAACGACGCCCAGGACCTTCTCCTACTTGACTTGGGGTTTCCAATACATCCTCACCCTAAGCCATTCACATCGACCTCTCCTGACTAAAGTAGTCTATACTTATTTTGACCCCACCTCACATGAATTTCTTCGACGATCAACGTATCCTAAAGTCCGGTGGGTGTCCTTGTCTACATTCTTCCCACATGATCCAACGTCCGGTGGCTTGCTAGCCACAGCCACAGCCAACGCGCAAATTAGGGATATAAGATTGTGCGGCTTCCTCCCTGCCTCCCACACCGCTTTTGCATCCCGGATCTTTGTTCAAATCATAATCAAGTTTTTGTTTCAGCATCTTTCCTTTTTCCACTTGGAGACATCAGGCGTGATCAGTTTCTATTTTAAGGTGGTGCTTCGCACTTTCCGAGGGTTTTTGATTCGGCCAGTGTATAGGGCTTTGAGCACCTGCATGGTTTTGCAAGTGGACCGTTGGAGTGTGCCCCAGGACCGCCATGACTTTGGGATGGCAAAGGTAGCCTTGCATCTGCGATGTCCAACAAAGTATACCTCAAGCTTGTCCGTCGCGTCCATGAATCTGCGGCATACTGCAGCTATTTTTGAAAAGTGTTCGCGACGATCTTTGGTAGCGGACACAGCTGCTGACAAATCAAAGGAAATGTATTGCAGAGTATTTGTGCTCATGAGGCATTTGGTTCCGAATGGTAGCTTCGGGTCTTTCCAATCACCATCTACATCGGCTGCAAACTGCTGCAAGGCAACTGCGAAAGAACCCATTTCAGGAACGGCAAGACGCTGCCAGAACTGGACCACATTATTGATGACAAATTCCCCCACCAGGTGCAGCTTGGCTAGCAAGCCAAGTAACGCTGAAAAGTCCAAACCGGAGCCTTTTCCATCATCAAGCGACTCTCGAGCGATGGTCTCCACTTGAACCCATTCAGGTTCTAGATAAATTAAAGTTAACAGCCCATTGAAGACCTCCCGCTTGCTTGGTTTGAGTAAGGACAGTTCGGTGGTGATTTCTCCCAACATGTCCGGAGTTGGGCAATTTTGGGTAAAGTCTTTGACATTGTCCGCGGATAGCAAGAAATTCTCCTGAGCTAAGCACCAAGACACGATGTCTAAAGTTCGCGTTCTGCCTGCGAGAGTTGCAACACGAAGCCATCCACAAATGCCACCGGCGCTGAACAGCAATTTCCCGAGTTCTTTTTCGCATGTGCCATCTTCTACCGGATGCAGCTGCATGGCCGTCATGACTTGCATCATATTGCGCTTTTCGCTCTTAGGTTTGAAGAGCTCTGCTGCGTCTGGATGCACATGTTTGAGAACAGCAGACGGATCCAGCACGAATGTCCCCAAGGGATACTTCAAAATCCAACCAAAGACTGCCTGCGCGACAGCCTTTTCTATTTTGGTCAGGCCGTTTTCTTCTTTCCAGTGGAGCTTCACGGAGGCAACCCTTTCGCAGTTGAGCTTTGCAATATCTAGGCTTTGCCTGGCGCACATATATGCTAAAAGGACAAGAGCTTGCAGCACCTCGCTCTCCAGCCGTCTGTTGCCGGAACGGGTTCCCGTGGGATCCAACCAGTGTCGCACGGCCGACTCGCAGTAGCCCTGGGAGTACAAATCCTTCGCATACTGAAACTCCTCCGGGGAAGGCTCCCGGAAGCAAAGTGGATATGGCATGGCAGCGGGTAAGCAAGACAGGATCAAACAAACTTCACCTGAGCGCTTCACCGTTTGGAACCAGAAACTATATCGACGCAAATATTGATCCAGGATCTTTCAACCCTGTGTTGCTGTCTTGCTTTCGACTTCGCAACCTTAAGATAGGTGAGCTATTGCTTCGCCTGGGCCACATCAACATACAGCATGCTCGCCAAGTTGGCTGCGCTAAGCCGCTATGTTCCACTGAGATGTCTTTTCTTCCTTCCTCCCTTCCTCCCATCAGCTGAGTTCTCCCCGCCTTGTTGGAGGCGCGCTGGAAGAAAGTGGGTACCACCTCATTGATCACCAGGACCAACACGTCTCCAATTTCAATTGGTGGTAATTTCTTGAACGCAGCCAACAGCTAATTACTTGTCACGCCCTGTCAACATGACCCTTCAACATGCACCGGCGCCCCCTGAACTTCACACCTATTCGTGCCCGCTCAGGCTTTGCAATGGCATCCTCCCTACCTCCCACTGCCATTCGCAAGGCACATGAGTTTGTAACGCGCGCTGACATCAGGCTTGAAGCTTGCATGGCTTCCTCCCTCCCTCCCACCGCCAGTCGCAAGCCAGATGAGCCACCGACATGTGGCTGGCGTCTTCACTTCGTGCCCTAGGCTTGCAAAGGCAGCCTCCCTGCCTCCCACTGCCACTCGCAAGCCGGATAAGTCGTTTGGTCTCGCACTAACAGTTGGCATCAAAACAGTCATTTCGTCCAAAGCAGTGATGTCGTTTTGACTTTACACCAGGTGTTTGGAAAAAACACTAACAAGTGGACCAAATGGAGCATCAACTGCATCGGCTGCTATGACATGAGCCAAATGGTGCGTCAACCGCATCAGTTGTGGTGCGACTTTTGCTGCTGCAAAGGAATGGGTGTAACACAGCGTGTA